AAACGTTTTGAAGGAAGGACATAGATTTTATCTACGCAAGTCTTAGTTGTGATTCTTTCACAAGTCTTTCCAGTTTAGTCTCATTTAATACATTGGGTAAAGGAGAGTCATTCGATCAATCTTTTCATTTTTAATGGCAGGGCCATATGTTTAAATATTACTGTTTGGGCAGACGGGCTTTAATTTGCTTTCACTTAAAAATGATACAGCACGCATTATACAAACAGCAAAGAGAATATTTGCCTTAAAGATGATGAATAGCGAAAATTTATCAGCTGGATTCTATTTCATCTATAGTTGGCTCATGCTAGCCATAGGGAGAATGACGGTGCGGTATTCTGGGTTGACCTAAAATCGCTTAATAGAGTGGCGACTTCACAAAATGCTTTTAGCATTTTTCACTTTTGACCGTATAAGGAGAAAAAACATAGTGAACTACCTCTTAATCTGCAAATCTTGTTGAATCTGCAACATGTTCCCCGAGATCCAACCAATGAAAGAATTGAAATTTTTTGCCATGTTGTTTTGCCCGGTTCAAACGTTTCCATTGAATTTTAACTCGTATTCTTTAAAAACTTGCATGTCTTTAAACTCCCATGAATACTACACGTATCTGTGTACCAACTTGATTATATTTGGGGTACAGAAAAGCGTCAATTAGGCACCCACCGTATAGAAATGGCGAAAAGAGTCTCCGCAAACAACGGAGGGAACGAAAAGAACACAAGAATGTGACCTTACCTGTACTAAGATTCCAACCCGGAGGAATAAGAGATGTAAAAGCATGCCAGAATACGTTAGGCCTGTTCGTTAGCGCGAACAGTACCACGAACAGTATTACGTACAATACCACAAACGTCCAGAAGTGGAACTAATGTTCTGATTGTTGGACTACACACGATCGTTTGCCAATTTCAACATCTGTTGGCAATTTCAATAACTGCATATTAGAAAGGGGCGATGAAAACAGAACGGAATATTGTTTGGTAGTAATACTATTTCGTAAGGGAAAATGATTGGGGAGCATCGATTTGACGTGGTCTATTATCAGAGAAGGAACAGTATTATTGGTGCAAGCTGGAACTTTGACAGAACCTCTCGATTCGCAGAAAGTCTTAAACTTCTTTTCTTTCCGGATCCGCATGAAATGTTGATCAAATCTAGGAACAGATCAAGTTTTTAAATTTTATTATGGCTTTGTCCAATCTGTATAATCTATAGTGTATATCTATGATATGCTGGGTCTTGGGAGGATGAATCTCATTTAGAGGTCCACGGGGCAAACAGTTACCATTTGTTCTTTGACGAAATCCATCATGGTCATGACAATGAGTAGTGGTCTGTATTGTGTTCATTGTTTATCGGTGACTTCCAGGAGCTTACAACTGAAATTCCTTTGCGAAACCTAACGCTAGTATCATTTTCACGACGACTTCTTTCTTTCACATCCACGCAATTATCTATGCATCAAATGAAAATCTGATAGTAAAATTGAAACTGTGTCTTTTTAGAACAGTAAACAGAGGTCTTCGTGCTCTGGCAATGGTTAAAAGTCATTCTTACAATCGCATTGGCCTAAACAACCCACAATGCACCGTGACCCGGCTTTCGTGATTCTAAACGAGGGGCAAATTATTCGATGGAAAATCTCGAATCCTACTGTTTTATCGGCATATCTCGAGAGCAGGGGTGTAGTGCTAGGGGCTGAGCCACCCTTGTTAATGCCGATTACTAGCCTATTTCTACATTTGGTGTTGTTTTTTGTACCATTATGCCGCAAGGTCCCCTTGTTATTTTGATAGCACTACCAGGGGCCCCGTCACGAATTTGGAAGTTGTTTTTTTGGGGGGGGGGCAGGCTAGCAAAAGTAGGGGCCAAGGCTTTTTTCCCCTTTTACTGCAGCTTTAAAACTACTTGCTTCGCAAAATAGTGGGGGCCATGGCCACCACCTGGTGGCGTGGGCCCTGACAACACCTCTGCTCTAGAGATACAACACCTTAGAAGAGAGATTGCCCCTCGATTTTGGAAGTACAAACATGGTATAATTGCAGAAGTCGTGCAAACTCGCGAAAAATAACAAAACTCGTATATTGTTCAATCATTGGGGCGTGAGCATGTGAAAGAACGACTGACAAGACAAAGAGGAAAGGCCGGCCTAAGCAGTGTCATCACAAGCTTTTGGCTTAATATGTTGGGCCGTTTCCCAGATTTCAACCTCAACCCATCCTTCTTGCCTTGACGTGTCAAGTACGTTCCTTAAGACTTTTGTTTACCTCAGAAGATTATTCCTTCATCCAATTTATTTCAAATATGTTGCTTTATTTTCGAATTTATTTTTAGTGGCGCTTTTGTACTCTGACTTGCTGTCCATTAGGAGAGCCTCGATTGTATACGTCCTTGAATCATGTCCCGCGAGGATTTGACCTGACTTTACTGTTTGTATTTTTAGTGTTTGTTATTGCAAATAAAGGACCAATTAGAAGTTGCTGCCCTTTAGTTGCAGTATGTCCGACTCCTAGATCCTGTTCAATTTTGTGACAAACTCCCTTGTCTTTGGGACAATAGGCACCGCACGGTGCAACCATAGTTTCTATCCACCCGCATGCCTTGAGTTATTCCTTCATTTTCATAGCGATAATCTCGACTGAGCCTACCTACAGGAGGCCACTTTTGTACTCCACTTATTCGCATTTTAACACAACTCCGTAAAAAGTGGATAAATGTATTTATCTATTAGATGTATAATTGCACGACGGGTGTTCGACTTTTGCTCACGAGCTGAGCCGAAATCAGATATGCTACCTAACTTCACCTGCAGCGGAACATTTCTTAAGACTCTTTTCTCTACAAAAATAAATAATCGACCCAAAGGCGACGGCGCTTTTCTAAGCTCTGCTGCTAGAAAGCTACGACGCATGTATCATCAACATACTCGAAAAATGTACAAACTTTAAGAGAATTCACAAGGTCTCGTGAACTAAAGTCGGGATTCTCTTTGCTAGGAAAGAGAAGTGAGAGTCCTCACGAAGTTATTCTACAACATTCAAAAGATATTTTTTATTTCACGACGCCGGAGCACGTATCAGAGTGGGCTCTAGACGAATTGACAAACTTCTAAGATAATTTTTCACCATCTTCTTTGAAACTTCAAGAAGAAGGCGTGCCTGCTTTTGAAATTTTATATCCAATTTTCTACCTTGTAACAAATGTAGTTATTGCTGGACATCGAAATGCTACCTTTTAGAACGACCTCTTTGTCATTTCTGTCACCTAATCATCAGCCAGTTTGACGGGGCTGAGCCCCAGATGTATGTTTTGTTTGGGGGGCACAATGTTTTTCTTGTCAAGTCAAATTCCGAAGGATCTTGGCATATCAAGTTGTCAAAATCAAATCTGAGATAAATATCAAGGACGCTAATCCCTATGCCCCCAGGCACAACACCCCTGCAGGGTCAAAACAAGTTTTGATAACATGGCAAATGACATGAAACATAGGCTCTCGCGCAAGCTGGAAAGTAGGGGGGGGGGAAGGATAAATCGAAGGGTCAAAGTGAAAGCCCTTTTGTTGGCAAAAAAGTAGAGGCAAAGCACCATAACCCCACCGTCCACGGGGAAATTTTTTTTTCATTGAAAAGACGAGAATTTCCTCCACTACACCCATGTCACACTTACTTCTCGTAATTTCTCTAGAGAAGTTTTCAGAGTTTCCACCCATTAGATTGATGATGGATGAATACTGCTGCACTCTGCACCACTATATTGTAGTCTTGGCGGGATCCCAAGTTTGAGGGTGGAGCTTAGTTGACAAAACGTATCCTTAAAGCTATATAAAGCTTATGAGCTGGCTTCGAATTTTGTTTGCACAAGAAGCGTTGAAACCTGTGTTAACATTAGACCCGAGTAGCATTAGAGTTCCTTAGGCAGATGTCAGAGCTCCTTGGATTACATAGCCACGGCCTAGATGACTGCGTGTCTGATTCTATACAAGTTTATTCTATGCAGCACACACTAAAGACTCCCCGATCCGAACTGTGAGATCAGCAGCGATTAAAACGAATTGCAGCCAAAAGACACCGATCGAATGTGTGATGTGACGGCAGTGTTTATAAAATCACTGTCGCTAACCCTTTTTGCCCTGCTTGTGACGAAACAGTATCCTAACGTACTAGTTTGACCTGTACTGCATGGTTTTAAAAAGCTTCCCCTTGCCAAGCTACCGACGAGTTTAAAAGAGCAATGCTGTATTCCTTCCACATTGGCTTTACTAGCTGTAAAAACTGATCTATAAAAATGACTGGATCGAGTTTTCGTTTTGAAAAGATTGTCGCCATACGAGAAGAGGGCCCCAGAAAAGCCCAAGCGAGTCGAGGGCCTCGTCTCTCATTGGAAGCAATGTTTTCAGCTGCTCGGGCTTTTTCTTTCTTTTGAAATTGAGCGGGCTTCAAATTTTAAGTGTTTCAAGACAATTGGAACTCGATCCAGTCTTTTTTATATATCAGTGGCTGTGAATTGAACCGGCTTTTGCCGAAAAGGACAACAATTATTCGTGACATGTACATGATATTGATGCGAAGACACGTGACGCTGTGACTGTCTGGGCAGGGTGTCGTGGCGATCGAATGCCAAAGATCGCAAAAGAGGCCAATTTTCCTGCAAAATTTTTGCATATTCACATTTGGAATTTGGTAAAGGGTCAGCGTAGGCCTGTCGTTTTGACAATTTTTTCCCTAAATTTGTCTGCATATCCAACAAATCAATTATACGGAGAGGATTGGCGATGACGCTCTTGCTTTCCCGAGTCAAAAGATAACTGTTTCTTGGGTGAACTGGTGTGTTCAAATGCCCCCAGTTGAACCAACAGTCTTATAGCTTGGATTTTAGAGTCAGTCTTTATAAAGATATCTGATAACTATAGGCGCTTTGACGAACTAGCATTGTACAGAAGTCAGACACCCTCTTAGCCTATATGCCCATTATTTTAATTCATCGCCCTTTTTCAGGACCTGTTATAATGAAGAAGTCAATGCATTCGATGCTCAAACTGAAATGTAAGATTCGAGTTGAAAATATACGGTGGTTCAAAGATGGCCGAAGAATCGCCATGGAAGTGAGGGGGCATTACTCACTACGAAACGGTGGAAGGAAACTGATAATTCAACGGCTGACCAAGTCTGATGCTGGTATTTACACATGTAAAAACTCAGAAACGAAAAGAAGCGTGATAAATTACAATGTTGTGGTTACAGGTGAGTTGAGCATACATTTAAATTCTCTTTTTTGAGGTTTTGTCCATTACATTCAAGGGTTGCACCATTATTAGATTTTCAGGTTCTGGGTTCAAAATTTGGGTTCTGGTGGAAACTTTAATATCACGGCTATTGATCTTTTTTTACCTTTTACCTATTAGAGAGATTATCGTCATTATTAAGAAAATTAATCACGTACTTATTTTTTGGTCCTGAAGTTTTCAGTTTTTCAATACTCCTTTCTAGAAGACTTTTTTGAATTTTCTCTAAATTCTTGCACTGAACTTTCTTATGCTTCCATAATGGAGAACTGACTAAAAAGAAGATAAGTTTTGTCAACATTGTTTAAAACAGTGACTAAAAAGCATACCCAACCGTGCTCGTTTGACAACAAAGATAACAAATATGGGTCATAAACAAGACATTTGATTTGGGCATTTTTAAAAATTTTAATCGAGAGCACTGCTGTTGCTAGTAAAACAGCCTTAACCGACGAGAAAATGCGATCTTTTGTTTTATCAGGCTCTTTTTACTAAAAAAATGGACAGAATCTTTAAATGGTTCGGCTTGTGAATCCGAAATTAGTCCAAGGAAAAAGCCAATGAATATTAAAGCATTTGGAGTCTTGGAATATATATTTTCAGTACCTATTTTCTTACAAAGGACAGCTAGAAAACAGCCATTTTTCATTAATATGTATTCAACTTTTAATTGATAATTGGTAACCAATATTTGCTCAAGGATCATCACGGCTATTTGTTGCATTTCAAATTATAGATTATTTGGATTTTGAGATTTGTAAATTATTTTCGAGCAACCAAGATTCTTTTTTAAACTAAAAATGATTGTAAAGGAAAGTGAAGATAGCACATGCTTGTGTTTTTGAAGATTTATTTTAGGGGAGGGGTACCTTCAGTGGGTGTTTGCTCCTACGCTTATGTACCTTATGTTTTTATCAAAGTTTTCAATGATAGCTCGTAATGGTTGAGGTAGCCTTTTCGAAATAGAATCAGTTTTTATAACTCGAAGCCTTTTGTCCATTATTTTCAGGATATTCTACATTTACCCTGAAGGCATTAACCAGTGATCTTAAGTTATTACTTTTGAAACGTCAGCTAATTCTCTTAATTCTGCCTATTAAGTTGAAGCTTGACCAGTGCTATATAACGAGCCTGGCACGCCTCGTTTTCAGATTCTTAGAAAATGACGTCATCACGCTGTCCTCTCTCAATGAATGTCTTTCATCCTTTATCACTGATATCCGTAACCACTAATCTCCTTCTAAATGTGACCACCAGTTCCACGCCCTCAAGTGTAGATTCAATTTCCCCCATCAATTGTGATTTTAATGGGTATTACCAGATGGTAAATATAATTTAAGACAATTTGGATAGACATTACAGTGAACTTTCCTTGAAGATGTTTCGTCACGCGTCCGTGATTCCACCGAATGAGCAGGCCCTTAGCCTGATGTGGCAGGAGTACTGGAACTGGTGATGTCGCTTGAGTTGGTGGTGGCACTTGGGTTTGTGCTGGCACTGGCGTTAGCGGTGGTACCTAAATATTCTCAAGAGTAGAGTTTGCTACCATTACGGACACCTGGGGGACGAGGGGGCCGGTCGTCACCCCCAAATGATATGGAAGACAATAGTTTTTGTTCTAAAACAATAGGAGCACAGCTTAATGGATATGTCGATATTGTCAATCCATTATCTTCAGGATTGCTGATGATAATGGTTACTTCAATTTTATGCAGCCAGGGTGTGTCGCAGAAATACGACAGTAACCTTTAAAGCTAAAATGACATCAGGATCATGCTTTTCAAGTGAAATAATAACTACGAATTTCGAACAATAGCTTTCGAGCATTAAGCGAGGGCCTACTCATTCATGCCGTACCTTTAATGTTGCTAAATTCAATTCAATTCAGTTAAATTCAATTCAGTTTTATTCGTATATTAAATGTTGGTCGTATTACTTTGCAGAACGTTCTGGATCGCCCGTGTTCATCGAATACAGCAAGATGGAGAGACAGCAGCTATCTATACTGACGCACGGCGATAACGTTCAATTCACCTGCCTCGCAGAGGGCCAATCACCAATGAAATATCAGTGGCTCAAAAATGGTCAAGCCAATTGGAAGCGAAGAGTGAGAGAGACAAATACCTCACATCACACGTTGAAACTGAACGATCTTGTGTTGTCGGACAATGGCAACTACACGTGCAGTGTATCGAATCATTATGGATCCATTCATCACACATTCAACCTTAATGTAATCGGTATGTTTAACAATTTTAAAGGCATTCCCTCATGGTAAATAGACCTTCTTTGAGTTCTATTGTGATGGAATTCTATTGTTCTATAGCAAGTTCCAGTGTCCATCAGGTTGGGCAAACCAGCGACTCAGTCCCTTCATGTTTTTAATAATGAGCTTTGGCCCTCATGTTACATATGGTTGGAGAGGTTTGACTCAAAATAAAAACAATATAACTGGAAGCCGGACTGAAGTTTAATTGCTAAACCCAGAGCCGATGCCAATGGGGGGGGGGGGCATGAGAGGGTGCATCGCTCCCTATAAGGCTGTTTGTCGGAAAATCTATATGCTTGTTGGAAAATTTTAGGACTCTCAACAAGTCAGTTGCAACAACTGGCTGATGATAAATTTCTTAGCTTTTCATGTTTTATTATTAGCAATTTTGCTTTTAATCGATTTTTTATGTTGCATTGTCTGAAAATATCCAAAGTTGATCCTTGCAGAATAGTTTAGTGGTCCTTTGTCTTGATACAGTAGAAACCCGCATAAAAGAACCTGTTTTTATAAGAACATTGAGGCTGAAATTTAACCTTTGAAACCCCATAATTAAGAACCCCCAGGAGGAGTAGATTTGTCGTCGGAAATATTATGATCTCTGCCCCCTATATATCACTGCTGGTGTCGGCTCTGGCTAAATCGTAACCCTAGGTCAAGCATTCCATACAAAGGATTTTGGGATATTTCTAAAACGAGACGAGACCGCAAATTAAGGTAATACATCATGATATTGCTGTTACGGGATTGGCTATCTTGGTAACCTACTTTATAAATACGGCCTAGCAGGTGGAGCTCTACATGCTAGGCCGATTAAGAATGCTAGAGACCCAGTGTTGGGTATAAAGTATAGTTATATTTATTATGATTGCTTTAAGTTCTGAAGATTGTCAACAAAACCTGCAAATCAAGAATATTTGTTCATAGTTATTTGAGAAGATAATTGTGTAGCCTTGATGTTCACTGAATGTAGAGCTTTCGTGTTTTGCAATTCTTAGATTGGATCTACAGGCGTGTGAGATTAGGAAATTTTACTTAATAAGAATTATGAATTTCTTCCCGCTCTCTTCTTGCTTGCTCTCTTAAAGTAACGGCAAGGGAGGGTCGCTGGAATGCCTTCCATCAAACCTGTAAGAAATATACCAGAAAGCATTTATTCTTGTTTTTTTTTGTTTCTAGAGTCAACTAAAGCGAGACCATATTTACAGCCGGGTTATCCCCAAAATCGAACTGTAAAAATTAATGGAAGTACAGTACTGAAATGCTATGATATTCTTGGTGGCATGAACATGGCGCATTTTCGATTTTTGCATTGGAAGGGAAACCCTCCAAACCACATGAATGTGAAGTTTGTGAAAGATGCAAATGATTTAGTTCGGCCTTATAATGGAACACAGATCGGGACAGAATATCATTATACTTCATCTATAGAGATCAATAATAAGAAATACCACGGAGTGTTGTTGTCGCTGCAAAATTTAACTTACAGCGACGAGGGTTGGTACAGCTGCGTCGCCTGCAACCACGTTGGATGTTCTATTGAGTCAGGTTATATCAAAATTGTTGAAACAAAAGGTAAGAACGTAACTATATTTGTAAGGGACACTTGACTGCTGGTCTTTCAGTGACTGGGTCGCCCTATCGTAATAAATATGCTATGGTCCTAATAAATATTATCTTTCATGTTTATTCCTATCATCTTTATAACTGGAAATGTTACAATCAAAGCAATTCGTTGTGTGAAAATGTACTAAAAGTGTGTAAAAGTTTTATTGATTATATTTATATCAAGAAACTTGGCACTTCACAGCCAATTGAAAATCAACTCGACAATGTAAAAGCTTTTTCGAAATACCCCTTTTCTGTCGTCAGAATGTACCCTTTCTATAGAGAAGGACTCGAAAACAAGTACAGGCCTATTAGCCTTAAATAATGACACATGTTATGTAAAGATATGCAACTCAGTTTTATTTTTGGAACAAATCTATGTTGATGCCCCTATTGATTTCTAGGGGTATGTATCTGTGTAGTGATGAAAATTGTGACAAAGAATGGTCAGTTATAACGGCAATCATCTTACAGAAATTTTGTTTGATTTTCCTTAGACTTTTGAACGTGCATTGCGATTTGTTATGTTGTATCAATTCTCAGATTTCCAAAGACCAAATTTTTTCAATGTTTATAATATTTCCAGACGGAGCAAAGAAAGGAAAGGAAAAAGAGGAAAAGCAAGAAAACTTTGGACCAACTGAAATTGCGAAGAGCAAACAGCTTTCGTCAAAGATTGAACCTGAGCAGCAGAAGAGGTCGAACTTTTTAACTACATTGATTGTTGTTGCGGTTGTCGGACTTTGCTGCCTGTTTTTATGTATTGCCATGACCACTGTCTGGAAATTATATAAAAAGAAAAAGGGGAAGAAAAACAAAGCACGAGCAGAACTCATTGAAAAGAACCCTGCGAATATGGGTGGGTCTGGTGAAAATGTTGAAATTGAGCCAAAGTCGACGATTGTGTCTTTTACGAGGACCAGAATGATATCGAACAGCTCAATGATAAGTTCCGTTTCTCATCTGCTTTCGTCAGATATTTGTGGTCAGCATAGCTCTAAACAAAAAGTATACGGTAGGTTATCTCAATAAGTAATCTGAAGTTTAGTATTTCTAATACTAAGTTTGAAGCTTTTTGCTTTTATTTTTTAAAGTCATTTTGCATATGATTACTGTTACAACAAGGCCTAGGTTTTTGCTACAGTAGATTATGACTTATTTGAAAGGGGTTGTGTCACGGTTTTGTAAACAAACCAGGTACACGGGATATGATGCATGTTCAGCCTAACAGGCACATTGGGATAATGGCGGATGGTGTTCTGGTGCTTCAATGAACTCGATAAATTGTATTCAATGATTGATTTACCGAACATGGAACGGACAATTATTATATTTCCACATTTGCACCGACGATCGACAGGAATTGTGTAAAGCAATTGGTCTAGGCCAAGGAAACGAAGCTTCATCCAATCAATATTGGGTTTCTCTTGGTGAATTTGGATGGCATTAGACACTTCACCACAAAATGATTAATCCAAAGTTGTCCTCCAAACTTTCAAAAATGTTTTCGCTGATAATTTACATCGGTAAGGTAGATTTTTTGCTGCCATTTTGGCCCATTTTTGGCCCATTCACCAGGGAGCAGCCCTGCGAGTTGCTGTATCCTTTTTTCCAAAAAATATGGTGATAATGTGAAAGCTTCTCACGATGAATACGGCTACAAAAAACTGTTTAATTCCACACTGGTTTTTAATTAATAGAGGAAAGGAAATTTCTTCCCCGATTAACATTGGTTTTTCTATTGAATGCGGGTTGCTTCACTCAAACAACTTTCGCTCAATTGGCGTGTTGCCGTGCGGGATGTCCCCTGTGACACAGCCCCTTTAAGCTAATGTATTCTTTTCTGTTTCTTTTCGTTGTATTTTAGGCCTAAATATTATTAAGTTTATAAATCTTATTAAATAATGTTTTGCAGCTGTTTATGCTGTCATAAAAAGTTTATAAATTTAAGGGTTATGTTTTTTTGTTACCTATAATCATTTTTTTATTAAAGACATTTTCGAATCAATTTGCGATGGAGATACTGAATTGTGCAGAGACTCGTTGATCATCGGAGAGACACTTGGTGAAGGTGCATTTGGCGTAGTATTAAAGGCGGAAGCTCAAGGATTGACGCATAAAACAGAAAAGAAGTATGTTGCAGTCAAGATGCTAAAAGGTAAGCATAAGTCAGTCAGTCAGTCAGTCAGTCAGTCAGTCAGTCAGTCAGTCAGTCAGTCAGTCAGTCAGTCAGTCAGTCAGTCAGTCAGTCAGTCAGTCAGTCAGTCAGTCAGTCAGACAGTCAGTCAGTCAGTCAGTCAGTCAGTCATACAGCCAGTCAGTCAGTCAGCCAGCCAGTCAGTCAGCCAGCCAGTCAGTCAGTCAGCCAGTCAGTCAGTCAGTCAGTCAGTCAGTCAGCCAGCCAGCCAGCCAGTCAGTCAGTTAGTCAGTCAGTCAGTCAGTCAGTCTGTCAGTCAGTCAGTCAGTCAGTCAGATCGGTCGGTCGTGTCCGGATCGTCGGTCGGTCCGTCGTCGGCGGCGTCGGTCGGTTCGGTCGGTCGGTCGGTCGGTCGGTCGGTCGGTCGGTCGGTCTCGGTCGGTCGGTCGGTCGGCTCGGTCGGTGTCGGTCGGTCGGTCGGTCGCGCTCGTGTTCGGTCGTGTCGGTCGGTCGGCGGTCGGTCGGTCGGTGGTCGGTCGTCGGTCGGTCGGTCGGTCGGTCGGTCGGTCGGTCGGTCGGTCGGTCGGTCGGTCGGTCGGTCGGTCGGTCGGTCGGTCGGTCACTTCATTGCAGTCACTTCATTGCAGTCACTTCATTGCAGTCACTTCATTGCAGTCACTTCATTGCAGTCACTTCATTGCAGTCACTTCATTGCAGTCACTTCATTGCAGTCACTTCATTGCAGTCACTTCATTGCAGTCACTTCATTGCAGTCACTTCATTGCAGTCACTTCATTGCAGTCACTTCATTGCAGTCACTTCATTGCAGTCACTTCATTGCAGTCACTTCATTGCAGTCACTTCATTGCAGTTAGCCAGTCAGGCAGTCAGCAAGTCAGCCAGTCATCACCCTTTATTTTGTAATTCTGAAAATATAACCAACGGTATTTTTCCTCCTTTATAGCTGATGCAACCGAAAATGAATTATTGGACCTCCTTTGTGAGACTCAGACAATGAAAAGAATTGGAAAACACAGAAATATTATAAGTTTCATTGGATGCTGCATAAAAAATGGTATAGAACTACTTAACTTTGTTAATTGCATCTTTGAATTGCTGTCATTGTAGCTAAAGCATAAACTGATATTTTCGGTAGATGCCAAACAAGTACGTTGCAAACATGGTCGCAAAATGGCAATCCACAGATTCTAAATCTGCAAGCATGGTCGCAATATGGCAACTTCTAAATAAAACGTTTTGATTATGTTCTAATGCTTTTATAGACAATAACAAATCTTGCTGTCTCTCTTCCAGTAAAATTGTTTACTAATTGATAATCATAATTATTTTCAACCATTTCTATTTTGATAAATCCAGAAATTAAGAGAAAAGGAACTTACACTATTCGCGAATGACATTTTCTTAGATAGAAATGCCAAACCTTCGCCTGAAAGTTGTTGAAAAGTCAGTCAAAAATGAAATGACAATGCATGAGAGAAGGACCCGAGTTTCTTCCCTTCACAGCATTGATTCAGAAAATTGGTCCATTCTTGTCAAAAATTCTTCCAAGTCTTACTCGCGATGTGTTTTGCCTAAGCAAGCAACTACTCAAACTGATTTGAAAAACATAAATTTTACGTTTAGTGATGCCCTATATAGTCTTTTTCAATTTTCTCCTTTTTCGTAGGGCCACTATACGTTGTCGTTGAATATGCACCCCACGGCAATCTGAGACAGTTTCTTCGAACCAAGAGGCCGACGTTTCCTGAGTCTGTGGATCAACGAGTAGAGCCACCCTTAACCTTACAGGACCTGGTTTCTTTTTCGTTGCAAATTTCTAAAGGGATGGAATTTCTCGCCAGCAAGTCGGTTAGTTATGCGTTACACAACTTTGATCTTATTACCAACTTGATCCAAGAGAACTTGACCATTTTGTGTAGCCTCTGAGTGCCCCGGCTGAGATAATGGCAACTACCTCATTTACGTCGACCACTTCATTCTCGCCGCACTTCAGGTGCATGAAATACTGCAAAAGTTTGAGGGTCAGAAATTGTATCTTAATAAAAGCTTGAGTTTAAGAGTGTGCCGTTCTTTGATCGCCCTTTCTTTAATTCATAATCGGATAGCCCTCGAGACCCATTCCATTTCATTTAGTGCTAATGAATATTTTTCATGACGTTGGTACTTACTATTTCGTCTAGACGCATAATCCACCTCTGGCTTTGAAATCAAAGATCATTCTCATTTTTATTTGTCAATCTCGTTCTAGTGTATCCACCGTGACCTGGCAGCTCGTAATGTTTTAGTAGGAGAAGAGTTCACAATGAAAATTGCCGATTTTGGGTTGGCGAGGACGGTCAGAGAGGCTGACTATTATAGAAAAACTACGACAGTAAGCTTCGTTTTTCCTCTTTTATCTTATTTCTTCAAGTCCTAAATTAACAATCATCTAGCATTTGACAATTCAGAGGTTTTGACAGATCCCATGAAAAATATTAAACATTTTCCCCCAAGTTCTCTCTACTACTTAGCTGCAGTGAAAAAATGAAAAGAGCGTATTTTCTTCAAATGCATTGAGCGATTTGGCTTCGGTTTCGATCTTTGAGGTAACCGTAGCCCGCTGGACTTTTTCAATCTTTATCATTGGAAGTTTATCATTGTTCCTAGTGCTAAATTCAATACCTTCATTGCTGAATCAAGTTTAAATCCGTAGATGTATTTCTTGTCTCGACATGTTCACAACACCATGCTTTACCCTGACCAAAATCTGAATTTCTGGATTTGCTCCTGAGACCACCGTAGGCCACAAGATTGTTTAATAAACGAATATGAGATTCAAGTAGTTGAAATCGAAATATATTGTTTCTTATTCATAAGCAAACGCCAAAATGCCGAGAACCCATCAGACCTGCTCACAGATACTGGTTATGAGATGATGGTATTGAATTATCCTTGACCCTATAGACGCCTGTCTAGTAACACTGATTTTCCCGTATGCAGAACAGAACTCTTTTCTGATAAGCAGGAGAAATTTTTTCATAAGTTATCTGATTCAACAAAAGCCTAGAAAATAACTCAATTATCCAGCTTCTTGCATTTTCTGTATGATATTTTTAGGGCCGCCTTCCCGTGAAGTGGCTTGCAATCGAGGCTCTGTTTGATCGCGTGTATACAACACAAAGCGATGTATGGGCATACGGTGTTCTGCTTTGGGAAATATTCACACTTGGTGAGTAGGGTAACACCACTTTTCAGGAATTCTGGTTTTGTACAACCAAACTACTTGCTAATCTAAACCTGTGTTATGGCTAGATAAGGATATACTAGACTGTTAGAGAACTCTTGCAGAAGAGGGATATAGAAAACGTATTCTAAAGCAAGAATTGATAGAACTCGCACTCAGCAATAAACTAATTGGAAAAAGTTTTCCAGTTAAAAGAATGAATGCAATCTGCATGTCAAATATAATTGGACGGCATTTAGCTGTCCTTGTCAAATCTTTTTTTGAGTGATTGGGAATAATAGAAGTGCAAACCAACAGAGTTGCTTAGCTTTTTAAATTCAGATAAAGCTGTTTCTTACAACTGAGCCTAACGTTATATGCAAGCTTTGTGAAAAATGAGTGTATATGATTCATTTTCGCTTACAACATAGAAAGCGGATTTATATCTTAAAATATGCAAATCAAGAATGGCAGTTAGATTGATTGATATAGATTGAAATAAAGCTAAACAAAGCTAGATAAGACTTACACAAGCAAGTCAACGTTTTTAGCAAACGGACATGAAATAAAAACGGGGAGAAATCGTCAATTTTTTAACGTTTAAATTAAAGCACCATGGGGAAGATGACAGCATTTCTGCATTGTTTCAGTAGCTTTTTCAACTTTCTGCTGGCCTGGGAATTATTCTAACTGCCTAGGAGAGCAAAAAAGGTTCTGTCACTCATTGTGCTCATCGTATTTTGTAATTATCCGTTTCTACAACATATTTGTGAAAATGAGAATGAGCACGTCCGTTAGCAGAAATTTAGCCTAAAATAAACTTCATTCGTACGTTGACCTTGCGCATTGTTAATACTTTACTGTATTGTTTGTGTTAGATCTCTATAGAGCAATGAATGTTTGTCGACCTGATTTATATATTTAGAATGATTAGCACGCTGAATGAAAATCGCCTTTATCGGAGTGCCAAATATTTTAAGAATAAAGTATTCATTAACAATGATTAGTATTAATTTCCTTTTAATCCCACGGATTATTTCTCAGCTCTGCTTAATATTACAAAGCCTAGATAAAATTAGGTTGTATGCTAAAATTAGACATTTTTAATTGGGACAGAAAAAATATATATATGATATCAAAATGTGTTAGTCTGTGGTGACTAAAGATTTTCTTAACGTTTTCAGGAGGATCTCCGTATCCAGGAATTCCGGTTGAAAAGTTGTTTGACCTCCTAAAGCTTGGATACAGAATGGAACAGCCTCAAGGTTGTCCAAAAGACATGTAAGAGCCTAAAAATAGTTTCTCTTTCTTGCCTAAATTTAAAATGTATTGTGACGAAAATAGGATCCATCAACATGATTTATGATCTGTGAAGCTTGGAGCTCCTAACTAATTTAATTCTTCCAGTATCAACTATAAAAATCATGGCATTGTGCCAATGGAAGGCTAGGGAGCTACAACCCCCTAATGGAGGAAGAAATTGGACGTTGGGCCGAGGCAGGGCTTGTAATGTCGGAAAGCTTATGTATTAGGAAAAGTTTTAGGTCTCTTGCAGAAGTTGTAGCCTCTTACTTGGAGTTATTTCTTGTGCTGATAACACTTCCCAGAGTACTTGTCAATTTTTCTTGTGACTTCTTACCCATGCCAGTCCATTTTTATAAACGAGAACATACAATAACTTGTGTATACAATAATTTAGGCAGGCAATATAGTTTATATGGTGACCCCTTTCTTGTTTTTTCGATACCAGGAGAAATTGTTAATGGCTTTGAAAAAAACAAACATTTTACAACATCAGAAAAAGGGTTTGAGAGAACTTCTGCCTTTTCTCTATTCTGTTACATGACAGAAAGACGGAAAAAAACAAGATTAGCAATAGCCTACTTTTTATGAACCCAAATAATATGATTTAATGAACTTCAAAATAAAGTTAATATTTCATTATAACAGACTGAAGATTTCCTAAGTTTTGCTTAATAGATAGTCCTGGTTAAAAAATTCGGTTTATTGAACTTCTGTTAAAACGACTGATTTTGGTTCCCTCAAAAGTTCTTTACATCAAAATTTCAATAAAATTGCATTTTGTTAATATAAACTCAAAACCCTTGCTCGCTTATGGTAGGCCATTTGTAGCAGTATTAAACTTTTAGAATCACCACACTTATGGTTAAATATTGATCGTTTGTATTTCAGCCTTTCCCTGCATTTGCATTCAAACATTTGTTCTTATTCATATTAAAAATTTCTGGGACTTAGGCCCATCGAGAGTTCCATTGAACACGGGGCTCTAGAGGTTTTGGCGGGCAAGTTTTCCCTTTATATTTCAAAGGTAGTATTTATGTCTTCATTCTTAAAGTTGCATATCAATATTTTCAAGAAGCAATCTTTTGCAAGTCTCAATGCTTGTTTTGCCAGATAAGCAATTTAATATTTCGTTTGTCTCCACTATAGATATGACCTGTTCCTGAAGTGCTGGTTTGAAAATCCAAATGAAAGGCCTAGTTTCAAGGACATCTGCTCAAACCTACAAGCTTACCTTGAAAACTTAGCTGGTTCCGTAAGTATTTAAATTTATTTTGCCCCCATACAGCTCGCCGTTGCGGTGGTTTTAAAGGCTTATAAAGGCTTATAAAACCTTTTTAAAGTGTAGGTCGTCGTTTTGCTCTATGTTACAGGCTAAATGAATTGCACATCCTCTTGCATATTACTTTGACCAGGGAAGGGAGGGGTAGAGCTGGGGGGCTCAGCCCCTCTTTTAAAATTCAAAGCAATTTTTAGGGGCTCAACCACCCCCCCCCCTAATAAGCCAGTATATGTTTGGTTGGGCGAAGTCCATACTAGGTAATGTGACCTAACCCTTTATTATGATATTGATTGTCCGTGAACGAGTATGATCCTTTTAAAGTTGGTGAATAGTTTGTTTGAATGATTTCATATACGCACCAGAGAATCTTTAACACAAAAGGCAAGTAAGTATGTTTAAATCATGGTTGTGGTCTTGGGTGTGGCTTCTGGTAGTTGCCTACAGCACAGCCCCACTTCCTAATTTGCAGGACGGCACCCCTGACTTGTACTTAGAAATCAGAACGGCTGGTTCGACTAATTAGAAAACTGTTTGTAAAATCAGCTGCTCTTACTGTTTATGTTCATCATCAAGCTTGACCTGACCATTATTCTTGCAGGATTATTTGGAAATACTTGCAGACATGCCTCTAAAACACGAGAGTCAAGAGAATTCAGATGACTGTGATTTTAGCAACCGACTCAGTGGCGAACTCTCTGAAGGGGATGACCAAGTTTTCGACGACCCCGAAACTGAACCACTTCGGAATGGAATAGCGTTGGAGGGCGGGGAACTGAATGAGTCAAATGTTTAGCAAAAGGCTTTGTAGTGAAGCCCTGTTGCTGATACTCGGATGCCTGTTGTGAACGCCATGTTGCAACTGGTAAGGCGTGTTGGTGAGCTGAAAATGGATGGTTTATTCTCCTTCATGGTGACAGCCACCTAGCATGGTAGCTTTGCTGCAAGAAATATATACGTAAGATGATAAAGTATGTTTAATTGGAAAAAGTCTGAGCATTCTTTAGAGATTCTTTGTTTGCTAGTGAGCTATTTGCCTCGAAGTCAGCAAGAGTCTGCTATAACACATTTCGGAAAATCACACGGAAAATCTCTACCCAGCCCAAAGTTGTTACTTGTCATATTTGTGGGAGAGGCTTCAGTCCTGTGCCAAGTCTATTACGTACAGTGTTACTTCAGCTATCCACAAGCAAAAACTACTCGAGTGAACGTACCATTTTTCTAACTGCCTAGGAACGCAATATTTTTCGAGTGATTGCAAGCTGGCCTAAACAGATTTATTTTCGAATTAAATCGATGTGTTTCCGAGCAGTTGAATTTTTTAACTATGATTCCATGTTAGAATAAAAGTGACTGCAAGTAGAAAAGATACTTGGGAGCAAAGGTTTTCTTTTCACAAAAGAAAAATAAACCCCAGCCTTACCCACTCTCCCACCAAGGTTAAAAACTTCAACCATAGTCTTGTGCCATACTGTGACTTTAATTACATCTGCAAGTATTGTAAGTATATAAGTACAAAACACACCATATCGTGTGAAGGTTGAACGCCAGTAGTTTGTGAATTATTGATCAACTGGTGTAGAAAAGGCAGTAGTTTTTCTACTTTTTTGTGTCACAAGTCAGAGCTGCCAATCAATTAGATAATTCTAAAATGATTATTATATTTTCGTACGTGAACGTTTGATGCATCATACAACCATATGAATGTGTTATATATAAAAGTGTATTACTAGAAATTCAGCAGTATGCTATGATTATTTAGTGGTTGAACGTTGATGACCATGTTGAATTTTAAGGGAAATTTAAAATGTACCGAAGGTTGCTTTTAATTGAAACAAGGATTTATAATCTCACCAGGTGGTCCCCAAATTCTTTCCTTGAAAATACCCCTTGAAAGTATCCAACTTTCTTCTCTTCCCAGTTTTGATTTGAACCGGTTTTACCGCCAGGTTTTGAGTCCTCTGAAAGACTATTCTATAGGGCTACAGTTAGTGTTTTGCCCTTGATCAAAGGATCGTTGCTTTAGTTAATCAATTCTCAATGTGCAAACAGACAAAAACATCTTGTGGGTGATATTCAAGATCACAGAAGAAGACACATTAAAAATGTAGATGCCAGGTGAAATTCCTTAAGAAAACATTTATGTTAGGTTTTGAATGTGATTTCAATAAAGAAAAGTGTTAAAATGAAGTAAAACTGGTGAAAGATATCCCCGAAAAGAGGTAAAAACAGAAGTTGTAATTCATTTGATATAAATTCCTTGACGAAAGATCCTTTAGACCAGAGAAGAATATGATTTCTTATATAGATATTGAAATGTTCGAATCCAGTATACAGAAGATATTTTGTCATCGTTGTTTTAGTGTAGTAATCTTGTGACGTCATTTATTAAAATCGTGACACCTTGTAAATATTGTCATATTCACGCTCAGACTAGTTATCAAAATTTAGGTTGGTTACCTTATAATCTAGTATTGATATTTGTATATATGATATAAAGAGAGTTTTATTGACATTTTCAAATAATTGTTTAGCTATCAGTAAGAGGAACCTAAATTTTTATATATTATATTGATAATTTGGTTTTATTTTACTTTTAAGGCTGATATCATAAGTATCATGAGCACGTATTCATGAATACTTTTTTTAATTTTACGGCGGATGAATTTCCCACTTAGATATCTACTTACCTTGAACAGTGATGTACGTTAGCAGAGAGAAAAAGCTGATACATGCAGATATGTAACCATAAAATTTTCCTAATCTAAGGACGATTTTGGTCTTTTGCTTGAAGAATTTTGGTATACATCATCAATACCTTTTCAATGCAGGAAATAGCCCCCCACCCAATCACATTTTTATAACATTTTCCCTACTTTCACAAGTTATCTGAAAAACTCAGTGACTGAGCCCCCCCCCCCCCATGTATGGAATCATATGACCTTTGAATCCCCACTACACAAGATTTGGAACTTTCACTGAAAAACTAGTAATTGTGCGCCCCCCCCCCTACATCACATCACAGCCAATTTTAACGTCTCAGCTGATTTGCTCATCTATCAAAGACATAGATTAATCTTACACGCAATAGCTTAGTAATTTTTATTTCCATTATAACGCTGAAGATGAATTGAAAAACTGTTTTTGTTATTGACATCTCTCCTTGACCATATTTGTGCGAGAGGCAGCTTACTATAGCAAAAGAATTTAAAAGCCTCAAAAGTGGAACATTTCCAAATTCTTTTAATATTTCACTGTTTGCATAGGAAAATATTTTAAGAACAGCTTTAAATTAGCTTATTTAAAGCAAAACCTAACATGGACGAACGAAATTGCAGGCTTCATTTATTCATTAAAGAGAGGGTAAAATCGGAAATACAGTGTATTCCCGATATAACGAACCCCGGATATAACGAACTTCCCGGTAAAAGGAACTAAATGTCTGGTCCCTTGGATTCTGCCTAACAAGCTTCTTACAAATTCTCTTGGTTTAACGAACCCCGGAAATAACGAATTCTCGGTTAAACATACATCGGCAAACATACTATTTTTAAGATGTTGAAAATGGAGATGAAGTGCGTGCAAAAGTTGAGGTTCTTGTTAAAAAAAACCCAACACGCAGAAAGCCAAATTACAACAGGAACGTAATTTTTGATGAACAAGATTTTCATTTTTGATCACTGACCTTTATAATATTTGAATCCAGCTTGTTTGTTTTGAGTAAAATGTGCACAGTAGTTGGGGATCGCCTAAACATTTCAACGAAGGCTTTTGGATGCGTGCTCTGCGAAAAGAATTCAAAAAAACTTTCTCCCGGTTAAACGAACTCCCGATGTAAAGAACTAGTTTCTGGTTCCATTCTGAGTTCGTTACATTGGGATTCCACTTTATTACTACACATAATAATTCACAACCTGCCTCGAAGTTTGTATTTACCGTCTTTCTTCGGAAGGGGTTTAAAAAACTGTGTTGTAATTGTTGACGTCACGACTGGCAGGAACAAGAACACTAGATGCCACAAACGAGGTCACACTTGCCAATACAAGAAGGAGGCATTGTCAGTTATGGTGGATCCAAGTACCCTATGGTAGACACGTAACAACATATCTCAACGTGACCTGTTCGGGCTGATTCAATGGATAACAGGTAGGTTATAAATACCAAGCAAAAGCGCAAGGGAAAAATGTCTTCACTATAACGCGAACGGCAGGATTGCGATAACTTTGTTTGTAGAACGGTTATTCTCTATATGATTTTATTTTGCCAGAATGTAAAGCAAATCCAAGCCAGGTTTAGCAGATTGCAAACAGAAGTTACATAAACAAGTTTCAAAGTCTGGATTTAGACGACGAGTAAGTTGTTCAATAAACTGCTAGGCAGTTGAAGGTTGAGGAATTTCTAAATATTTAGTTTCTAATTATACATTAGATCGTCTATTTGTGCTTTTCAGGGGTTTTTAATCTCTCTAGGGGACGTGAAATAGCTATGAGAACTCTTCATGTTGGTGTCAGATAGGCCAGTTCTAGAGGGAAAAGAGCCTCAAAATCATTTCACCAATAATTTATTGAAGTTAGGTTTGAAACAGTATGGCAAAACAAAAAAATTGATAGTTTTTTCGACACAAATAAAATATGTGCTGGGTTTGTTCAAAATACGCATCAATTTTTATTGTAGAGAATTTTCCTGACCTAGAAGGGTTGTTTATAATTTCATATATGCTGTTTTATAGGGAGACTTTTGGCTATTTGATAATTCATAACAGCAAGCTAAATCTCCAAGAAATAAGATCACATTATCACTTAAACTAAGGTTTCAATAAACCCTGTATTGATATGAATTTTTCAATAAAATTTTCGATCACCTTGTTTTATCACCTAGCAACCATTAAATGATGTCTGATATTTTTGTATTTTAGAATGTATTGACAAGTTAACAATCAATGTTGTTACAGAATTTTCTTTAACTATACAAATTCCTTATTATTCTATAGATAATTTTATCACAGTAATATTGACACCTGATAAGCTGATAAAAAAGTAATATGCTTACTTAGGCAATAGCTTGTGCCAAATGATTTATCGGCTTTTTACCCTTAAGTGTTACATTGGCAGAATCTTGAGTATTTGAGGTTTACAGTATTTTTCTAGTTTAAATGACCTATTTATACTGATACAGTGATATTGAAAGATTTTCCAAATTTAAGAATAGCAAAAACTTGGGGTTTTTCTGAAAAAGTATGGAGTTTTGATTTGTAGTTCTGATGTCTGATGAGTGATGACCAACAAATTGTGTGTAATACGGATGTTTTGGCTTCTGTACAGTATTTGATAGACAGTTTGATAGAGAGATAGATCAAAAGATATATCTTTCATTTCTTTTCTTTGTTTGAAGATGATTTTCATCTATTGTACAATACATAGAACCTTTTTTATCTTTCTTGAACTTTAGAATTAAGTGGATGCTGTTGGCAGACAATGAACCCCAACAAAATATTTCGCATCTTTCTTGGTTATGTATCATTTGTCATCTTTGGTGGAGTTTTACTAAGTTTCAAGTTATTAGCTGATTTTTCAAATTGTGAACAAAGTACCCCAAATCAGGCAATCCACCCTCATGAAATTGGAAGAGTGCACATTGATCCTTGGAATGTCAATGACCATCCAGTTTCATATGCCCATGGACAAGCTTATAACAAAGAGAAAAGAGATGCTGTTAGATTCCAGCCACAGCCTTTAATCAGCGCTAATAAAGGTTTGTGTTGATCTTTTTTTAAATGTGTGCATTCCATAGCTTATCAATTTCTATTTGTTAGAAACCTATTTGAAAATGTTCAGCTTAGTTTTACAAAATGGGGGTGCCATGGGGGACTAGGAGGGACACATCATCCCTGCAGGATCAATTATTTAGTTTGTCATAATTCAAACTGTCAAACTTTATGTAACCTAACAAAATTTATGAGCATTTCCCATTGCTAGAATTGAAGTCCCTGTTGGTAAAAGTGTGTTTGGCCTGGAAAATGTTACTTTGTTCCCTCGCCTCCATTAACCCCCCCCCCCCCCCCCCACCCAAACTGCTTACCATCAAATAATAGCTTAGGCTTCATCGGTAAAAGAAAACAGCAAAGACTGTTTTTTGAGAATGTCGTTTTTTCACTTTTGAACATGAATGTAAGGCAAAGTACTAATTTGGTTTGACTAACAGTTGCTGCTTTCTGTACAAAAGGATGCAACTGATTACTATGAATCATGCTTGGTTTTAAACATTTCATTAGGTAACATCAATATTATATATAGCCATTCCTATGAACTAGCTTGTGAGGTTTTCTTTTTTGACTTTATCCTGCTAAAGTGCACTTAAGATACTAAAATTTCTCATTAGATTAAATAATTTTTTTGCCTGCAAAATTTGAAGATGATACAGAATAACAGAAACATAGTACACTCAAATGCTTTTTTGACACTCTTCAGAGCATATGTGCTAGATAATGACCAAAAGTAAGCTGAAAATCTATATGTTTATATATCGAAAGTAAGATGAGAAGGAAAAATACACACTCGATTGGTTGTCTTGTCTTTAATTCCCACTTTATCTTCGATAGAGACAAAGAACATTATTCAAATCATGAATGGCAATGAAAAGGCTCAAGCACCTGGACCTGATGCTAACAATGATAATAATATTGTGTACAGCCCTCATCATCTTGCTGTCATTGTTCCATTCAGAGACAGGTTTGAAGAACTGCAAGAATTTGTACCACATATGCACAGGTACTTGACTAGAAAAGGAATCTCACACAAAATATATATTGTCAACCAAGCTGACAAACACAGGTATGAATTACTGCTGAAAAATTTAATAGTACAAAAAATTTGTTGAGCTTTATTTAAATATAGTCTGCATCCTATCTATTAGGTTGTTAGCATTAGACTCATTTTTTATCTGACAAATGTGTCTGATATTGTTATATGACATTTTTAGATATATGCTGAAAGATCTTTCAGTCAAACATGACAAAGATGTTATGAATGTTTTTTGCATATATGCCATAATTTTTATAAATTAGAATATTTTTTAGCACTTAAACAATGTGCTGTTTACCTTGGGGTAAAGCATAATTAATGTTTTTGTCTGATTTCTAACCCAGAAATTTATTACAGGTATTCTTACCAAAGTTTTTAAGTGAAGGAACTTCTGTTTTTAAATGTGACAAATGCTACATCTTTTTCTTTTGACTGAACTTTGCAAATTTATACAGCTAGTCAGCATTAGTTGCAGCAGCAGATAATGTGTTGTCATCAGCAAATTGCACAGTGAATAAAGGAAATGAAAATATTTAATGAGAATATTTAATTGCAGAAGGCTAGGTAGAAATCCTTGCCATACCCCCTTGCCCAAACAAACCCCAGCTGCTGAAATATCCTTAAACAATGTACAGCCAATTTATGTTTTTCCCTGTCTTCAAAAGCTGGGTTCACAAAGTATCATTGTCTTAAATTTCTCCTGTTACATTTTCAGGTTCAATCGAGCATCACTCATAAACGTAGGGTTTCTGGTGGCCCGAAATGAGTCAAATGACTACATTGTAATGCATGATGTGGACTTGCTGCCATTAAACAATGACCTTAACTATGGTTACCCAGACAATGGTCCTTTCCATATTGCTGCCCCTCATTTACACCCAAAGTATCATTACCCTAAATTTGTTGGTGGCATACTGGTGCTGTCTGTTGAACAGTTTGAGCAGGTATGGTTGCAGTTCCTTGTAAATTTTGATTCATCATATTTTTTTTCTCATTCATCATAGTTTGCTTAAACAATCCTAGGCCAGTGGGATGCTTTTTGGTGTGCTTTAATGTAATGACTTTGAGGAGCCTCTTATACTAGTATTTGAACAGTAGTTTTCTGCTTGATGGCAATTTTGGATATCAGTGTTACGAAATTGTCAAGATAAGAATTCATATCAAACTCCTGAATCTAATTTTGTCCTTCTGTTAGCTCGTGTTGATTTTAACCTATTTTTGGATAAGAAGCTCACATTTTTTAACGCATTTTCAAATGATACCAGCCTTAACTGCCTTTTTTGAAAGTGCAGACACGGGAGTTTATATTAAACTGCTTGCTATTTCATCATCTATTGAAAACATTTTCTCAGCTATAGAGAAATTTACTGCCTTTCTCTTGTTTCTTTCAAGAGATAACTGTGAATACCAGACAAAATATTTATTCATACTGTTATGATGACTTTGATTCTTGTTTTAATGATGGCAAATTTTTCTTTTCATTTAAGTGCTAAAGATTTTTAAGCAACTATTTAGTCAATATCTTTTAACTGACATTGACATCAAAAACATTATGAAATAGCAAGTGGATCAAAAAAATTATTTTGAAAAAGCAAATGATTTTAGGTAAAAAAGCCCAAGTCACTGCTTCTCCAGGTCCACCATATTTTCTTTCAGTTTACAGGTGATGCTTTTGCTGAAAATGTATTTGTTAGCTAGTTACTGCATGGATTTTGTTAGTTTGTTAGTTGTTAGCTGACAATTTTTGATTATCTGATAAATCTTCAAGATACTATCACTGTATCTTCAAAACTGCCAAATGAAAACTTTTAGATTATATTTTTTAGTTTTTAGTCTTAGCTTTAACAGCAGCTGTTTGTAGCCTTGGAAATATAATTTATTGTATTTGTTTTTGTTTTCAAGTCTTGTCGTAAGACAGCTAATTTCTATGTTGTAAGATTGAACATCGAAACTTTCTCCGATTTACAAAACTCTGAATTCAGCTGATTCACATATGATAAATTTACATGATATGTTTTGAGGCCATATTTGAACGTTTGTTAATCAGTAATATAATTGGAAGATATGAATAGATTCTTACATTTTTTTTGTTATACAGAAGTATATGAATGTTCATCTTTTAGGTTAATGGTCTTTCAAACAAATTTTGGGGTTGGGGACGTGAAGATGACGAACTGTACATGCGAATGACAGAGGCAGGTTATCAGGTATGTCTTTTATTGTAGTATTTTGATACACTCCCGCCTAGTTGAGCATAAGCTTTGTTTGCTTAAAGTCTGGCAGGAAATCCCTTCTCAACCCAGCTTGGTTATGGACGCGTTTTTACTGTACAATAATTTCAATCTTCAATAACTATTTTCTCCACACGTAGCATATGTTGTAAAGCTCCTCTGTGGTTGAAGAATTTTCATTTTGTCTACAGGACATGATATATTTGTGAGCCATTTTGGTCAAACAGATCTCTGGACTCCCATTTCACTTTTGTAGCCATTAAAAGTCTATAGTTGAATATGAGCTTTCCGTCTCAAAAATTTGTAGGCCTGCTATGAATTTAATTTCAATCAGACTATTTGGCTCATAAACGACTAATTCTTTAGCTTTTCTTATTCCTGTCATTTGTCACTGAAATTACAGAATTTAATCTCTCTTTTGAAGAACTATCCACCCAAATAGAAGGCTTATCTTATCAGGCCATAGTTGTTAAGTGTATGAAAGTTAGCAAGTACAAACAAGATTTCGTTTTGAAATCAGTTTTTATCCAAGTTGGAAAATTTTGCGTCTTTTTCGTTGCTCCAACGCAATTTCTGTTGTTGATAAGATCACTGCAAGACTAGAAAAGGTGGCACACCGCTAGACTATTAAGGGGCTCTTTCTTGTAGCATTTTGAAGGAACAATATCTCAAGCAAATTATGTTAGATTCTACTGTTTCGTTTTCATAACTGCTTCATATCACAATCATAACTGCTTCATAACGCCCTTTACAGAGTCAATTGTCAAATTTCAAAATTTAAAAGTAATTTTTGATACCATTTTTCTAAAAATTTTTGATACTTGGATCTTTTCCTTTAGTGTCAAAGGAATTTTTATGATTTTCCCTGTTTAGTTGAACTTTTTATGATTCAAACCTTGAATTATTTGAGTAAATTTTGCCTGCCCCATAGAGCCCAAATTATTTAGTATCAACTTTTTTATTAATTTATGATAATTTGGCCTATTTTTGATGCTTTTGTACAGATCCAAAGACATGGTATGGAAATTACCACTGGTTATAATACATTCAGGCATGAGCACGATGCAGTAAAAAGGCCCAGGGATTACAAAAGGCTGTTTGGACAGAAAAAGGTAATTTGCAACTATGCTTCGGAAGTTAGAATTCATCTCAGAAGTTTTTCTAGTGAGATATGACTTACATTTAAGGGAGAAATTATTTACGCAAGAAATTTTTTACGGATGAGACTTTTCCCCAATTCTGTGGAATTTATTTTTGCGGACGAATGCCTTCAATTCAATTAAATTCTTGAATGATTCACGTTTAATAACAATATACAAAATTATTCATTTTTGCGATTGACGGCTTTCATTTAAATATTCTGGGTTTCAATTTTATGTTAAAAGGTTCTGACATGTCCGTCTTACAAAGTTTCAGTTCTTCACAGATTTGTAAAAAGTCTTTTGAGTAATAATTTTGAGGTGGCAGAGCTTTAAAGAAGGGTCATTGTGGATTTTCTACAGAAATTGAAAGGGACGGGCGCGCATTAAGTTTTGGGGGAGTTTTTTTTGTGGAAGACGTTTTTTGCTATTGACCAATTTTTGAAAATTTGCGGAACAAATTTTTAACAGAAACTAGAGAAACAATTTCTTCTGCAATAATTCATTTTACAAAAAGTTTCTCCCTTTCTGTGAAGTTGCTACAAGTCTCTCTCTCTATTTAGTAATCTGAGAAATAAAGAAAGGGGGCAAGAAAGAGAGAACGAGACATACTTTGAATGAGAGATATTTTGAATCTCAAAATCAATGACATGTTGGTATTGGGGTATGTGTTCCCAGTCAGCAACCTATACGTCTTCGTTGCTGTATAGCTGTGATCGTTCCTGATCATGATACATCTTTCATTTTTGCTTGACGTCTAATACAAATTGTTCGAAGTCGAGGGGAAGTAGGAAAAAGTAAAATACAATGACGCGAAACACTAACTTCCATCCTGACTCAGCAATTAAATCACCGTCGATTTCACTTAATTTGCACCCACTTGTGTGAACATGCATAGTTTTTTAAAAATGCTTCTAACCTCACAGTGAAGTTTATGGATTAGTAGAAATAAAGACAAATATTTTCGTAATTAAGCAAGAATGAACTTTCCCTTGAAACTATTAATGTAGTTAAATTTCTCGTTTCAGGCATCTTTCAAAAGAGACCATGAAACTGGTTTTCATAATGTAGAATTTAAAATAGCTAAAAGATATGAATTGACGATTGACAGTAGTCCGTGTACCATATTAAATGTAGTGTTGTTTTGTGACAAAATAGCGACACCGTGGTGTGACTTTCCAAGCAAACACCATCGATAGTAAAAGCTATATATATGTAGCCTGTTTTATTAATACTGCTCTTTAGGGGCAGCCGTGGCTTAGGAGAGTCCCGGGTAATATTAATTCAGTGGGATATTTTTTAGCGTAGAGACTTAAATTATTTGCAAGATTGTACAGAAAATATACGTTGTATAGATATTATATTGTATTTGTCCTTTAAAAAAGTAATGCAGATGACATAATGAATGCATTCAACGTTGGATAATTCGAACTACCGCAGGAAAGAAATTACAGATATTTTGCAGATCTTAAGTTGGCCTACACAGGGGCTATATTCAAGGGAAACAATTTCTGGTTAAAAGAAAAGGAAATCTAATTGCTGGATTTTGGTAAAATTGACTCAGAAGGAAGAAAAGCATTCACCCCTTTGTCCATCATACAGTGACAGTAATTGCATTGGATATGTTTAAAAGTTTTTTATACTTTACAAGCCAGAAAGGTGGTAGTTTTGCAAGTATTCCAATGACTTTAACATAAGCAGCTCAAGGCTTTTGTCATTGAAAGATCGATTCTGTTTCAAGATTTCTCTGATTATTTTGAAGATAGGCCAATCCCCTTTTTCAACTTAGGCCTGCCGAATAAAAGTTTTCGTTTTGCAAATAAACACAAAATATTTTATTACTGGCGGATTTTTAAACTGAAAGTTGACAGTTTTCGCTTTTTAGAACTACAGGTTTCCTTTAAAAATGAACTGAGCGTTAGGTGAAATTAATGAAAATGATATATGTATATGTATTTAGATAAAGAAAGCAATTTTTTTAATTGATGAATTTAGATGAAGAGTTCTTGCATTGGCTTAGCTTAAAGTATTTTGCTACTAGCTCAATTTTTTGTCTCCTTTCTACAAACGATGGCCCTAGAAACACAAGAGCAATTTTCAACGACCTTAGTGCTTGGCAAATCGATTGTTCATTATTAGATGAATAATTTGGCATGAACTTTGATTGCTTCATCTTTCCATTCTACTTAAATAATGCTTAGGCACAGAAAAGGATTTGTCTGCCTGCTTGTGTGTTTGTCAACAATTGTTTATTTATTTGCTACACATTCATGTCTGAACGAAAGATTTGTTTGCTACTTTTTGCTAGTCAAGCACTACAGGGGTTAGTCTATCTAGATAGCCTTTGTCTTGCTATCTATTTTTGCAATTACTTTAATTTGACACATTCTTTACCATTCACATCATTCTAAATCTAAATATGAGTTTATACAGTATTAGCAACGTCTTGAACCCTCTACCTTAATGGTTATTAAATGGTCATGTTTGCAAGAGCAGTACTGGGTTCTCATTTCCAATGCTCATTGCTATCCAATACTGGATATGAAGAACAAATTTGCTGAAACTGTGGCACATTTAGGAGTTAAGGTTGCTGGCGACTAAAAGGATCCATATGAAAAAATAGGAATTACAATTGAAGTAAGAAATAATAGTTCAAGTTATAGGGGTATCAAATCATCCATAATAAGATTTCTCCTGTGATATTTTTGATTATACGAAGCTGAACTAATTATTGACGTGTCATTCTTTATTTGAGCAGCAAACTTTCACCAAATTTCATCATAAATGACTTCAATTGATGATGTCATAATACATTGACCAATCAGAATTTACCAAATCATTTGATCACAAGGAACCGAGGCATTTTCTATGATAATAAATATGGCCGCTTGTTGCAGAACGGTGTAATACTCTTATCAAGTTTTTTGGTAATCGCCTATAGTTCTAAAGGGTAAAAGATAAGAAGACAAGACGATAACGATGAAAGAAATGAAAGTCCTAGCCTTCTTCTTCATATTTATTCTAGGAGGAGTAGTAGGTATGTAACTGTTTTATGCTCTTAGATGTTAGAATTTAGCCTGCGCCGCAGACCCAATCCTCCAAAGATTGGGTCTGCGGCGCAGGCTAGTCAGAATTTGGCTTTTCCATTTTTGATCGTGCAATAGGTGGCTAATAAGTACACATTTACTGAATTATAAATGCTTAAACAAGCTCATCTTATTTAAGAGAGTGCAAGCAAAAACTAATGTTAATCTTTATCTGACAAAAGACGGATAACATGATACAACCTCCATCGACCAAATCTCCAACTACTTTTTGTTGTATAGTATAGTAGTATACCTTGGTTCTTAAAAACCTGTTTATAACTCCCACCAAGTTAATTTTCTGACGGAGTAGTTTTACAGCTGATTTGCTGCATAGCCAAGAAACATGATCAAGTATTTTGTTTGCCTGTCATAATACAATAATATTTTACACAACAGATAATTTTACCTTTACACTTTTTTTCTAAACCATGGAAAAGTGGCACTGTTTTTCGAACCATGTAATGAATGCTCTAATCATGAACCTGTTAAGATAGCACCAACCATGTGATAACATACCTGAATCTGTTTTCCATAAATAAATATAAAATGTTGTTTCTTGATCTGTTACTTGATAAATCTGTTGCCTATACTTTTTATTATCTCTATCTCTACCTGCCATGAAAACTTAATATACACTGTACCAGCCCAAAAATTTTCTCTTGTGCCTTTAAACTGCTTAATTACTTATTTTTGACTTAAAAGATGGTCAAGACACTGGTCTCATCCTGGTTGACACACCTGAAAATGTCTCTACTGAAGATGTAGTAAAGGCAACAATAGAAGAAAGCAGTGAAAGTTTTATTGATAAAAACGCAGAGCCATTTATTCCAACAAAAGATTGGCAAGTTGTCAAGAATGACCAAAGTGTCCCTGCTGGGCTGCATATTAGAATGAACCTTCAAACAGGTCTTAAAGAAGCAAAACTGATGGATGGTGATGATGGGGCAAGGTTCTTGAAGCAAAAAGTTAAGCAAAATGAAGGTTGGTGTTTTCATTTTAGCAGTCATACCTTCCTAAACATTTGTTCTGAGAAAAGCCTGAGCTGAGCATACTCATGTTGAAAATCCTAGATCAACTAATCATGAACTTTTCATCACATATATACAGGGCTTGAAAAAAACTTCTCTTCCTGGCAGCAAATTAAGAAATTCAAGATTTCCTGCAAAGCTTTGACAAAGTTTCCAGCCCCTGGAAGTGATTTTTTAAGTTGCTTGATTTTTTTAAACATTTGTCCTAAAAATAAACTGTCACAGAAAAAAGAAATAATTTTTGGCTCTCAATTTTTTATCATAGCTATTGGAACAGCAATCATTTTGTTTATACTTTATAAAATGAAAAAAGAAGAACATAATCAAGCACAATACTCATAGTTTGTTTTCAAGGTTAAAGTTAGCAGATCTAAAAATCTATAATAAAATTGATTCAATTACATATCAGTACTAGCAAACTAAATACTTTTGAAGTATTGATGTATCCTACCCCTTGCCCTGGGTTTCATATTTGTTGCTCAATTTTATCATCAAATTGTAGTTCATACAACATGCAAGAATTTTTTTATATTTTTTGATGATAAAAATTAATGTTTTAAATCAGGGTTACGTTAGTGATAGAGGCAATGTATGTATTGCAGAAAATATAGAGAAAAAGGTGCTTAGTTATTTTCTCTAGAATGAAAATTGGTTTATCTGAATTTGACTTTGTATTTAACTAATTGATTAAGAATTTAGGGACCCCTGGGGGTTATTATTTTAGGGAGTTTTTTGTGGGGGCTGATCAGGACTGATCAGGTTGTAGGCTTAAATGACAGGGGGTTTTATGTGACAGGGGTTTATAAAAGTGTGTCCAAGTTGCAACACCATTATCTCATTTTGTAGACTTTACACAATTTGTAGTTGTTTCACAATTTTCATTAGCTACTGTACTTAACAGCTTTCTTAAAAGTGAAACTGGATTTTAAGCATTATTTATCACACATTTAGCATTATTGCCTATTTTAGCCTATTCCTTCTTTTTATTAATTCCTCACAGGGGAAATTGGTATGCCAGATAGGGGGCTTTTCTGGGGTAGGGGACATTTGTACTTCCAGACTGAAGACTTTTTGGTGGAGGGCTTGTAAGTGGGGGGTGGCAGTCCGAGATAAATTGTTCACAAGAAAACTTACTATTTCATACCTGCTTTTATATTCATCTCATCTGCACAAGCAGTTGCAATCATTGAATTTTTAGGCCAGCAAAAGGTAAGGAATTTCTTTTGTTTTTGCACTGAAGACCCTGTATTGGTCCTTGCACATCTTTAGGCTCTCACTCAGTCTAGCAGTACTGATGAGCCCTGCTACCGCCAACTGTTTGAGGAGTCAGTGGTATTTTTGTCAAAATAAGACATGAACAGTAGACAAAAGTTGGATACCTGCCCCATGTCTATACTTTTCGTTGTCAAGATGCCTTCAATAGTATATTATTTTTTTTAAGGAATGAATATTAATATTGATTGACATACTCAATAAATTCTCATTGTACCTTTATGTTTCCAGGAAATGACAAAGTACACCAAGAGAAACATCAGGATGGGCCAAATATTGTCATGAGTGACGAGATGAAGGATGAAGCAGAGAGCTACCCTGAATCAGATAAGATTTATTTTACCAAACAGCATCTAAAGGATGCCTTGAAAGATTTCAGAGACAAATTTCATGATGATGGAGTAAAGTCTGATGGGCAAGAAATTTCAAGGAGTGAAGCAGGTTTTTTCAGAAATTTCATCGCTTTTTCACACCTGTCTTTTTTTCATAAAGATGAATAAAAATGAATACAAATATGCATGTTATATGTCTTTTGAATTAAGAAGATTTTTTGGGTTCCCACCATTAGAGTTGGTCAACTGCCACAGTTCACTTAAAAATGTAATTTTTTCTCTAAAGGACTCATACCATACTGTTGAGAACTGCCAACTATTTAGAAGGGCTGCTAGAATGATTAAAGCTTCACTTGATATTTGCTCAAAAATTCGTACTCTGATGGCCAAATAAAGTAGACTGAAAATTGTTTTCTTTGAGTTGTGTTTGTTGTTCGCTTTAGACTTCATTGTTTTAGCAAATAAAAAGTTTTTCAGTGTTTTGGGTGTTTATCAAAAATGATTTTTCATGCACAGTATTAAATTGCTAAATGTTCCCAATTTTCAGTGAAGCAAAAGTTCAGATCAATTGAGGAAATCCGGAAAGAGTTAGAAGACCACATGGGCTGGAAAGTAAAATCTGATGCACAATTAATGAAAATAAGGGTGGAGATTTTGAGAGCTGAAAACGCAACAAAGGAAGAGCAATCACATGCATTAGAAGATTTAGAATATTATGTCCACCAAATTGATAATGCCGTAGATTTAGAGAAGATGCATGGGCTGCAAGTGGTTATCCAATTTCTCAATAATTCAGATCTCCAATTACAAGAAAAAGCAGCAAAAGTAATTGGAGCAGCTGTTCAGAGGTAAGTTTCAATTTGGTAAAGAATATATTTCATATTTATACATTGCATATTTTTATTTTCCAAAGGTATCCATTGCATTAAAAATTTGTGTACCACATCGAAAACTCCTCTACAGCTAAAAATAAATTCAATGAAATTAGAATTGGTCTTGTCAACAGCATGACAGCAAGTTACTGTGCTTAAAGATTTATCAAATAATGCTTTTACATTTTCATCTCATTTTCAACAACTGATCTCAAAGTTCAGCTTACCGTTTAATTTTGTACCTGAAGCCCAATGAGTAACATTGTGAATTGCAACTACTACAGTAAAAAATGCGTCCTGTTCTTGCCGAGATCTAGATACAATTTTCAGATACAACAAGATAAACATAGACATAAAAAACATCAATCAGGTCTTCCTGGAAGTAAATTAGCACAATGGTGGCATTTTGCACTCCTTGACTGTGGTAGGGGTGTGATGGAGTGCTTTTTATATTTTGTCTTGTTTCTACAAATGTCCAGTTGCATAGTATATGGAACCATAAAGACCTCATTTCTCGACTCATTTCTTCAGTTCTCTCACAATTTTACCAAAAAAATATATGTGGTTTTAACTGAAACAAAGTTAGCCAGAAGAAATATTGAAAGTAGTGAGTGTCGGGCTTGTAGCTTTCGTTTATTTTTATCAGAAAGCCGTGCTCGGTATTTGATTGTGTCATGTCATTAATCATGTCTTTAGAAAAATGTTTGAATAAAATTGGCAACTTATCAAGGTGTTGAAGTGCGGTCTCTTTGAGTGCAGTAACATTAGTTTAGCCTTTGGCAAGTGGGCCCAAAGATCGGAGTTTGTGAGGGGCACACTTCAATACTTCAATACTCTTTGATATATTTTGCAAGTCCTGTCAAGTTGTTTGGTCTAAAGGACTCGTCCTTAACAAAATGTAGTGGAGCTTAGGTTCTGGCTGCCAATCTTGTGAAAGCTCGAATTCTACATTGACGTAGGTAGGTAGGGGCAAAAGTTATCTGCCAAATTCACTGAAAACTGCTTATGTCAGTCAGGAGGGTACATTTGCTTATATCCAGTTCTACAGTTAAGTTTTGCAAATCGGAGGAGTGTAGTGGTCAATTCGAAGTTGTCAATTCGCTTTTCATTTCCACCATCATCAATTGAAGATCGTAAATAAGTTCTAACAGTCTTTGGTTTTACTTCTTTTAATATAGTAAGGTCTTCCTCAAGGAATGTAGCTTGGTCTGCGGAATCCATCTTGCTGCGTGCTTACTGTCCATTGAACGAGTTGAATAGGCGCTCAGCAAAAATTGATGGATTAGAGTGTGTACTGGTCGATATATGTAAATTTTACTTATTACCGTCAAGAGCCAGCTGAAGAAGCTATAAAGAAAAATTCAATCTCTGATCAGAAGCTAGAAAGATGTGCTCTACCTAGCGAGCCTCGATGCAGAGAGGAGACGATGAAGATCTTTACAGCCCTCTTTTTAGCAGTGCTTCCACTTGGAAGGATCTATTCCTTTCTTCGGAAATTTTGGCCGATTGAAAGGAAAAGGGGAGGAATTATAAATTAGAAAGAATTAAGAAAGATTTTCTAAGAAATTGGGATTAAATTTCTGATTGAAAAATTAGAAAATGGGGTTGTAAGTCAGTAAGCAGGCCAGTTACATAGGAAGAGCTTCAAAGTTTATACAAACTGACTTGGCAAATTCATTGTTATTACGTTACACAAGCTGTTTTTACAATTTCTAACTTGAGTTACTTAACCTGAAAGATCTCTAAATGTGTGAAATGAGTTACTGTGTTAGAAATTGGCTGAGATATGGCAACTTGAGCACAGGCTCTTTCCCCGTGAACTCATTGTATTTTTGTCTCTGTTCTAAATTTGATGAACCATGCCATAATGACAGCAATATGTGGTAAACTTAATATCATTTCTTGGCCAAAGCGCTCCCAATTTGTGATATGTCTAACTGATATTGCATAATTAAAGGTTATTCGTGGTGTGCTATTCAGTAATGTGGTACAAAATTAAAATTTCTAAAAGTATATTTTTATGCCGTCACACAAGCTTTATTGTCTCTATTCACCAATATAAGCGCTTCCGAAGTTTCGAAAACTTTCAAAACTCAGCAAGCGGAAGTTTCGAAACGAAACAAGGGAACATTTTGAAACTAGACAAAAGAAAAAAACATAATGAATCTCCTGTGTACAAGGCAACATCAAGAACAATTTCTAAAGTAAGTTGAAAGCGAAAAAATCGGAAGTGTTTTTCGTCTATTTCAGAAGGAATTTAACAAATGAAAAGACATTTTCAGAAGACTGATCAAGCAAAAAAGGGAATCACTGCAGGTTTAACATTGTACATAACTTGATTCAGGGCCATTTTGTAACCTTATAGGTTTCCTGCGCTTTTGTAAAAAACAAGCGATTAGTTTTAAAATAGGCGTGCGATAAAACTCACTGCCCATCGCACGCCTTTCCCGGAAAGGCCTGTAAATATAAACATAAGCAGCATAAACATTAACATAAACAAAAATAAACATAAACATAAGCGAACATAAACATAAACATAAGCGAACATAAACATAAACAACATAAACATAAGCGAACATAAACATAAACATAAGCGAACATAAACATAAACAACATAAACATAAGCGAACATAAACATAAACAACATAAACATAAGCGAACATAAACATAAACAACATAAACATAAGCGAACATAAACATAAACAACATAAACAACATAAGCTTAAACCTAAACATAAGCATAATAAATCATAGCTTCATAAACGAATACACAATAAGATAACGAACATCAAATAGCAAACAACTTAGTAACCTCAAAATTGACAAAGATGACGTCGAAATAGTAAACAGACGAAAACATTCAGGCTAACAATAGGTAAGAGTCTCTACTGGAACCAACAATAACAGATAGTTAAGGTAAAACGAACAGTTGGGCCAGTAAAATAAAATAATAATAATAATAATAAAAATAATAATGAAAATAATAATAGTAAAAATTTGCAACCCTAATCATGCCCTCTTGGAGGAGCAGTAACTCTATATTTGTTTCTTTGTTTCTTTCTTCGGTATGTTACTAATTTATCTATTTTTAATAAATCAGAATTTATTAGCTACATTGTAAACAAGCCTGAAGGAGAATCATGAAGAAATGGAATTTGAACGAAAGCGAAATGACAGAATGAATGACATAGACATAAAAAATAGTCAAAGGGACAAACTAATGCACCAATGTTAAGGACTTTGTTTCCACGTGTTTATATCTTAGGATTAACAGTCATTCTGTTTAAACATCTGTATTAAAATCATTTATTTAAAATTGTTTCTTTAAACTTCAGATTCAAAACCAGAGTAGGAATGAATTCTTTAATTGTGTTTTATAGCAACCCTAAAGCTCAACTAGCAGCTTTGGAACATGGAGCAATGCAGTTTCTTTTAAGGCAGATTTCATACTCGTCAACTGAACGCTTGCGAAAAACTGCCCTGTTCGCATTGTCTGCCCTCATAAGGACGAATTCCAAGTCCCAGATTGTCTTTCTAAAACTTGATGGTTTGAATATCTTGCTAAAGTGTATTGAAACTGACAAATCAACAGCTTTAAAGATTAAGGCAGTCACCCTTGTGTCAGATCTGATTGTTGAGCAAAGCGATGTCAAAGTGTCGATGGTCAAAAATGGGAAGATGACAGCAGATGAAAGGTTAGTTCTCAGTTCTTTAAAAAATATTCATCAAATTCTTTGTATACGTTTGAACTTTTTGTAAACGAAGCTTGAGGTAATTATTCATTTTTACTATAAAGTAATATAATTCTTCTCAAACTTGGTATATATTCTGTATATAGGGGGTCTATAATAGTATAGCTAAACAGTTTCGGCACCATTTGTCATATAATGTCCCACTGCCAAGTGGTTGGGGAAAATGGGTAATGGCCTTTTATTTAAAAATGAAAGCGAAAAATATGTTTATTTTAATCACAATCGCTTGAAGAATTATAGATAACAACGCACATTTTGGATGTTTTGCAGTATTAGGAGGCCCTTTGATAGGCTTGATATGACAAGCCTTCTCTAAACACGATGCCAGTATAACTTATAGAATTTATCTGTTTGAGTATTTTCACCTCACGATTCATGATTCTATTTTTAGCACTCCTTTGATGAAGGCTTTGATCAAAAGAGGATGGTGTGCATTGCTTCCAGGGCAACTCAATACCGAAGATTATGACAGCATAGAAAAGGTTTTAGCTGCCATTTCGGCATCAGCAGAGGACTGTAAACTTATCTTCAA